CCCATGGATAAACACAATTATTTTCATATTAATTAAATGTGTGTGGAGAACTTTTCATCTTAATTCTTACTTTTTATAGTTCTTTTAGTTTTACTCTACAGTGTCTGAAAATTGTGTATGTGTTACCCACCTTTAATTGAACTGTTATTACTTTTTTGTTATACTAACCTCCTGCCTAAGGTTTCCAGTGCTGTCATTAGCCATTAGGCTTCATGGGCTGAGGACAGCCTCCATTTGGGAAGACTCTAATGGCTTCTGTAATGGTATTTATTCATTAATGACTTTACATCATAAAGAAAGCATATTTAGTGTAATGCTTTGGGGGCACCACTAGGGGGAGTGTGTAGGAAGACATGTGCTTCTGGCAGTGACATCACAGGCCAGCCTACTTACACTGAATAAAACCAGATGGAGGAGAAAACTCTGTCTCTTTGCCTGTACCTGACTGAACCTAAGATGTAGTACCAGCTCTGACTTAACCCCAGCCAAAGGGCTGGGGCCTTGTAAGTAAAATGTTGTGTAACATGTAGCAACCTTTTGTAAGTAATATGTTGTAGTTGACATTCTGCTAGCATCTGTTTATTTGTTATAGTTATATTAAATATACATTTAATATTACAACGTTTTGTGTATTTTCTATCCACATATTCGACCATAATACCATGAATTATAAAAATATTAATGTTGTTCCGTATTGCTTAATTATTATGTATTAAGAGATTAATATTCATATTTAGGTTACGACCACAACAGCTTCCCAATGCCTGGACACAGCCTGTAGGAGTGTACTCAGGCAGACAGACATTGGCATAGAGTCTATGCCAATAGTATGTCTGTCATGAGGAGGGAGCACTGTTTTACGTGCAATGTTTCAAGAAATCTAAACATTTATTAGAAATTAGGCTAGCACAATGTAAAAATTGAATTTGAAGAGAAATGAATTTCTGGAAAGTTCAATGACAGATATCCTTTAAGCACTTTTCTTTTCTGTAGGTATTCTATACCTGCTGCAGTGTCATGCAGTGGCTCCTTTCTGAAATCATGGGCATGCAATAGGGCACTTGTGGGTCACTGCTTGTATGTAGGCTATTCATAGTGCTGAAGAGTTTGCATGTGTGAAGACACTGTTGGGGTCATTTAGTAAGTTCCATATTACCCATGAATGGCTAAATTCCCAAATTTAGATCAAAAGTTGCAAACGAGTATTCACTAAAAGCTGTCTAGGCCAATTAAGGGGATCACTCTGAATGTGCTCATCATTTAATACACATCCTACTGGATTATAATGGAGAGTCATGGGAACATTTGTTTAACTTATCTCTTTATATATATTTATTATTAAATATATATTATGGCTCAAGAATTGTTTGTGAATGTATTCTTAACTATGTTTGTTAACTGTTTGCAGCTATTTTACAGATATTCATGCTTATTCAGTTTAACTCAAATACTAAGATCATCTGAATCAGTTTGGAGGAAATGTTATAGATTTTGAAGGATAGTAAATTAAGTGAATTACCTCCAAATTGCCCCAATGTGTCCTAAGTAATTTCGTCCAAATTTGCCTTTGTGTTATTATTATTATTATTATGTTATTATTTATATAGCGCCATCAAATTCCGCAGCGGGTGGACGAACAGACATGTAGTTGTAACCAGACAAGTTGGACACACAGGAACAGATGGGTTAAGGGCCCTGCTCAATGAGCTTACATTCTAGAGGGAGTGGGGTAAAGTGACACAAAAGGTAAGGGTAGTATTAGACTAATGACGGTTGCAATATTTGTCTATATTTAAAGCTCAAAACATTGTATTTTCTGTAAGCTTGAAATTAAAATACAAACTAAGGCCACAACACTCAAATTATAAAATATTCAGCTTGGTTATTAGGACCTAGAAGGTGAGAAATTTTCCAAAAGTCACTTTATTGTGACTGAACCCCTGATGAGATAGTTCTCACTTTACTGCAATTTTATATTTAGTGAACATACAATTAATGTTTTTCCAGTCAAGTGAAAAAGTGTTTCTGACAAGTTGATCTGTTTTCTTACCAACAGAAATGTGTCCTAGAAATTGTGTATAAGTTGCTTTGATTATTTTAGTGAAGTGTTCACTAAAGTAAATGCTTGATTTTTATGGCATAACTCATCATTAATACATTTATGGACCAGAAAATGAGGCATTTCTCAAAATTCCTTCATCATCAATATATACATGCATCAAATGTGCCCGTATTTATTAAGATCCATTTTTAATTATTTAGTGAAGTATAGTATGCATTCTTGAAAATTCTTCAATACTTGTGACATAAAAATAGGTATAATTCTGGGTAAAAAGGCTACTTTAGTGAAAGCCAATTTGAAATTGTAAGATCTCATCTATTTGTAGCTAGAGAAAGGTTGTCCATTCTTGTTTTTAGCATTTATATAGTGCCAACATGCATAACAACTTACACCCTAAATGATAGTGAATTAGAGATAACAACACATAAGAAGGATTTAGGAATTGTTATAGACAATAAAGTGAGCAGCAATATGCAATGTCAATCAGCAGTTGCTAAGGCCAGTAAGGTATTATCATTAGTGATGTCCCGAACCGTTCGGCGAACCGTTCGGCGAACCGTTCGGCGAACCGTTCGGCGAACCGTTCGGCGAACCATTCGGGATATCACTAATTATCATGAATCAAAAGGAGCATTCATTCTAGGATAAAAATATAATTTTGTCTCTTTATAAGTTACCGGCACACCTTGAACATGCTGTGCAGTTTTGGACACCTGTTCTAAAGAAGAATATTATGGCACTAAAAAAAAAATTAGAGGTGGGCTACAAAATTAAAAAAGGAATGGAGCATTTTAGTTATGAAGAAAGGTTAACAAATGTAAATCTCTTCAGTTTGGAAAAATGGCACTTCACTGTAGATTATGATAGCACTATAGAAATATATTTGAGGCAAATACAAATCATTGTCTGGAAATGTATTCATAAACAGGACTATACATAGGACACAAGGTCGCACATTTAAACTGGAAGACAAGAGATTTAGTCCAAAGCAAAGCATTTTCTTTTACAGTGAGCACAATAAGGGTATGGAATTCATTGCCAGAAAAGATGGTTTTATCAGAGTCTGTACAGATGTTTAACAATTGGATAAATACTTGCAAAAACATAATTAGTGGAGAAATAGCTACTTTATCCAAGGAGAGATTTTACTGCCATTCTGGAGTCAAGAAGGGTCCATCTTCCTACATCCTAAAGATAGGAAACATGAGGGTGGCTAAAAAAATGTACATGCATGTCTGTTTGTGTGTATCAGTGTGTCTGTATGTGTTTCTATGTATCTGGTGGAGGTGGAGCTGCAGACAGGAGAGCAAGGGCCAAGGACACCGGACCACAAGGGAGGAGGGAAGGAGATGAGACCACTGGATCACCAGGGACTGCTCGAAAAAGTATTGTAATCGCAATCAACCTCATCTCCCACATACTGTCACCCTCACCTCCTACACTGTCAACCTCCCCTCCACACCCTCACCCTTCCCCACCACACTGTCACCCTCACCTCCCTCCCATAATAATTTAATAATAAAAATAGAGACATCAAAAAAATAATACAGAAACATTGGCATATTTTGCAAAACGAATCCAAGTCTTATTTAAAATTATCCCTGCTAACCCAAATATAATTTTCATAGGTGCCCCAAATTTTAAATCTCTTCTCACAAATTTTTTTACTAGAATTGAATCAACAAAATCCTCTACCCTGTCTAACGCACAAGGTTTCTTTAAATGTAGAAAATGTATCATCTATAAAACTACACAAGGATCAGTCCAAAATAAGACCACCAAATTTATATTTAAAATAAGCCAGTGGCTGCTCGCTGTCATTAAACACTAAATATAAATCAGTATAGAGGTCACTATGACCCCCATATTGATAAAAGGGAAGTTAAATCCTCCTGCATGCCCCTACTCGTGGTATGTCACCATGGTGGGGAACAGAATATAACTAAAATGGGGGGGACATAGTGCCCACCCGTGACCCACAGGTGGGGGCTTTTAATATAAATGGGGGGACCTAATGTCCCCCCTTGTCCCCACTCGCCGGCAGACAACTACCCGATCTCCTTCCATCCCGGTCCAACTGTGAAGTATGGTGGTGGGGGCATCCTGGTTTGGGGCTGCTTTGCTGTGTCAGGGCCTGGACGGATTGCTATCATCGAAGGAAAAATGAATTCCCAAGTTTATCAAGACATTTTGCAGGAGAACTTAAGGCCATCTGTCTACCAGCTGAAGCTCAACAGAAGATGGGTGTTGCAACAGGACAATGACCCAAAGCATAGGAGTAAATCAACAACAGAATGGCTTAAACAGAAGAAAATTCGACTTCTGAAGTGGCCCAGTCAGAGTCCTGACCTCAACCCGATTTAGATGCTGTGGCATGACCTCAAGAAAGCGATTCACACAAGACATCCCAAGAATATTGCTGAACTGAAACAGTTCTGTAAAGAGGAATGAATTAGTTTGATTTGTACCTGAAATTAGGTGCAGTGGGTCCAGGAGTCAGTTCACTCGGAAAGGCTTTTGTATATTCTGATGGTTCAGGAGAAACGCAGCACTTACAGATATGGGGTGTATGGCTTTAAATCTGCTAGAGGCAGAGTCAAACTTACTACACACCAAATAATATGCTTTTAGCTCAAAGATTCAAACTGTAAGGGTGATATAGGAAAACGGTATGAGGAACTGTTTCCTATTTGTGATATAAATTGTCACAATTATATACGGTGTATACGTCCTTAAATCTGTTAGAAACAGAATAAGGCAAAGTATATACCAAATGATGTACTTTATGACAAAGATGTAAACTTCATGTAATAGACATACAGTATATATGACTGTATTCTTTAAATAACCGTATCACTTAAAATGATAATAAAAATGTTTGGATAGATGAGTAGATAAAATTAATACAAAGTTTATTAGGCATAATAGTTAAATTAAATAAAAACACTAAAAATATATTCAGATAATACCAATATTTGAAAAATATGAGCCAGGAACGTATTGCAAGAGTATTACCAGCAATTTAGCAGTTCTTGAATCAGATAAACCGCAGGGACCGTCCAGGATGGATATGGATACAGTGTTGCAGAAACTGTGATCTCTGGCTGTCGGCTGTGAGGTTGGCGTGCGTCCCAGACCTCACTCTGAGTGATGCACGCTGTTGGCCGATCGGTCCCCAGATCTTGGGATGTTACACTCTCGGTGGAAAGGAGAAGAAATCCTTTGCTGCTGGTTTCAAAATTCTGCATCCGTATCCTGCTCAGTCTGATATGGTCTAACGCGTTTCGTGGGTGTCAGCCCCACTTCATCAGAGACGGAATAAAGATTCAGTAGTCTACACTGGTTTAAATATGCATCTGGCTGATTACAATTGGGTTACAGCATGGGGATCGTTCATAGAAGTTGTGTACTAAGTATTTAACCCTGCATTAATAGGAATACATTTAAATAAATACATTTAAATAAATACATTTGTGAACAGATCTGTCAATATGGTAATAAATATCGATTATAAAAATATAGATTATAAAGATATTCACATGTACAGATTATAGAAATATTTAAAAGGTATTAAAACATACATAATGTCGATGAATAGAGTGTATAGTACATATTGTAATACTATACACTCTATTCATCGACATTATGTATGTTTTAATACCTTTTAAATATTTCTATAATCTGTACATGTGAATATCTTTATAATCTATATTTTTATAATCGATATTTATTACCATATTGACAGATCTGTTCACAAATGTGAATTATTCTATTTACTGATACTGTATATAGTTCTATTTACTGAAATTGTATTGCTCTATTTACTCATAAAGTGTATTTGTCATGATCATGTGCAGGCCATGGATGAGACTTAAACTGGGGTTAATTGCAGGGTCTTTATTTGGTATCTTATTAGGCTAGTAATAACAGGATATCCTATGATTGTAGATATAGGAAGTATAACAGAAGATAAACCTATAAGAGAGATTATAGGTTCTATATACAGGAGAAATAGGAAAACAGGATTATAGATAAGACAGGATTGAAGAGTTGTACAGGTAAATTTGGAGCAGGTTGGCAAGTATTGCAGGATAAGTCACCAATAAGGAAATTCCACAGGTAAAAGGAGCCAGGATATGAAGTAGTTTCAGGTAATCATCAAACTTCAATGTCAAGGCCACTTGCTTTGTCGGGCATGGCCTATTATGGCAGAACTTGATTTCATGTTCTGCAGGTGAGAGTTGGAGGTGGCTAGGGAGGCCACTAGAGGCGAGAACCAGGTACTGTATTTTAAATAGAATGGTACCAAATGGATAGGAACCTGACAGTATTGTTCAATGTACTGAAATTGTATTGCTCTATTTACTCATAATGTATATTGTTTTATTTGCTGATAGTGAATTGCTTTGTTTACTCACATTGTTCTATTTACTAATACCTTGTATTGTTCTATTTACTGACACTATGCATTGATCTATGTACTCAAATGTGTATTGTTCTATTTACTGATACTGTGTAGTATTCTATGTACTCATTTGTGTGTTGTTCTATTTACTGATACAATGTATTGTTCTATTTATTCATTATATGTATTGTCCTATTTACTGATACTGTGCTTTGTTCTATGTACTTATATCTATATCGTTCTGTTTACTGATACTGTGTATTGTTCTATGTACTCATATCTGTATTGTTCTAGTTACTGATACTTTGTATTATTCTATGTGCTCATTTGTGTATTGTTCTATTTACTGATACAGTGTATTGTTCTATTTACTGATACAGTGTATTGTCCTACTTACTAGGGTTAGGGGGTAGGGTTAGAGGTAGGGTAGGGTTAGTGTAAGATTTAGGGGTAGAGGTAGGGTTAGGGGTAGTGTTATGGGGTAGGATTAGGGGTAGGGTTAGGGTTATGGAATTGCCAAAGTCTCGAATTCCTGAATTTCAGAAGTGTCGAACCAAAGTGCTGAAGGTCTGAATTTCCAAAGTCTTGAATTTCGGAATTGCCGAACCGAACCAATTTTCTTTGCCTATGCACATCAATAGTTCTATTTACTGATACTGTGTATTAATATATTTACTGATTATGTGTATTGTTCTATTTACTGATCATGTGTATTTTTCTATTTAATCATTATGTGTATTGTCCTATTTACTGATACTATGTATTGTTCTATGTACTCATTTGTGTATTGTTCTATGTACTGATACTGTGTATTGTTCTATTTACTGATACTGTGTGTTGTTTTAGTTACTAGTTGTCAAGGTATTTTCCCCCAACACGCTAACTATAGGACTAACAGACAACTTGCTAGACGTATTACCGGTCCTTAAAGTGGCCGGACTTAACGTGAATAGAAAATAGGAAAAAAACAGAATGGTCAGACAAGCCAAGGTCAGGGAAGGAGAAGTACGGATAAACATTAATCAAAGCCAAGGGTCAGGGAAACCAGAAATACGGAAAATCAGAGACAAGCCGAAGTCAGATACCAGGAAAAGACAAGTTAACAGAACGCACTCTCGGGCTACAATAAACCACGACAGGGCAAGGAAGTGATGTAAGAGGGAGGTATAAATAGGGTTAGGAGAGCGCTGATAGGCTAGGGAAAAAAATAGGGCAGTATATAAATAGAGTACCAGTTCATAGGTAAAACGTGGTACTGTCACTTTAAGGGGCCAGAGGCATGCCGTACAACCCTAGCGCGTGTATGCGCGCACGCCCAAGCGTGCACCCGGACTCGTGCGCGCGTGTCGTCAGCCGGATATCAGCAGTGCCTGGAGGAGCAGTGCGGACGGCGGGACCAGAGCGACGCAGGCCGTAAGGAGGTATGACATAACCCCCCTCTCCAGGAACGCCCACTGGAGCAACCCCAGAAGGACGAGAAGGGAACCTGGCATGGAACGCACGCAGAAGTTTTGGTGCATGGACCTCTAAGGCAGGAAGCCGGGAGCGTTCTTCAGGACCATAACCCCTCCAATGGACCAAATACTGAAGCAATCCACGTAAGAAACGAGAATAAAGAATGTGCTGGATTTCGTACTCCTCCTGACCATGCACCAAAACGGGAGGAGGGCGAGAATGAGACCTAGAGAAATTATTACAAACCAGTGGTTTCAGGAGGGAGGTGTGGAAGACGTTGGGTATATAGAGGTTTTTGGGCAGGTCCAAAGCATAGGATTAACCTTTCGAAGAACCCTGTAGGGACCAATATACTTTGGGGCTAATTTCATATAGGGAACACGTTAACGGATATTTCGAGTAAACAACCACACCCGATCATCAGGAAGATAGGAAGGCGCAACTCTACGGTGCCTATCAGCAAAAGAAATCTGAGTAAGTACACTTCTCCAAGATGGCTTGAACCGTACTCCAAGTGTCACGTATGGCGGATAACTGGTCGCCCAGAACAGGCATTCCTTTGTAGGAGAACGAAGCAGGAAGCAAGTTCGGATGGCGACCATACGTAACAAAGAAGGGACTGTGGCCAGATGCAGAATGTTTAGCGTTATTTCTAGCAAACCCAAGGAAAAAGGTCCACCCAGTTGTCCTGGAATTGAGACGTAAAACAACGGATATATTTCTCAAGGTTTTGATTAGTCCGTTCCGCAGCACCATTCGTTTGAGGATGCTAGGCATAGGAAAAATTGAGTTCAATACCCATGTCTTTACAAAAGCCTCTCCAAAATTTCGAGATAAACTGTGATCCTTTATCTGAGACGATGACATCAGGCATACCGTGCAAACGTATTATTTCCTTAATGAATATATTAGCTAATTCAACCGAAGACGGCAGCTTTTTTAGTGGAATGAAGTGTGCCATCTTAGAAAAGCGATCTACTACAACCAAAATGGCTGGGAAACCTTTGGAAGATAGTAAGTCGACTATAAAATCCATAGACAGTTGGGACCAGGGAGCAGACGGCACAGGAAGAGGATGCAGAAGACCAACCGGAACTTGATGGGAAGATTTAGATTGTGAACATAAATTACAAGATAAGACATAGGCTTTAACATCCTTTCTGAGGGACGGCCACCAGAACTGTCTGGAAATTAATTCAATAGTCTTGGACACCCCCATGTGTCCGGCCATTTTACTATCATGATAGTCACGAAATACTTCACCTCGTAGTTTAAGTGGTACAAAATATCTCCCTGCAGGTTTATCACTGGGTGCGCCTTCATGAGCATTCTGGACTTTCTGCAGAAGGGGAGATGAGACTCTAGTTCTAGTCACAGCAATAATCCTCTCAGGAGGTATAACAGGTTCGGTTATATCTTCCTCCTTATCAAGAGTGGCATACTGTCTGGACAGTGAGTCGGCCTTAGTATTACGATTACCTGGTCAATACGAAATCATATAATTGAAGCGGGAAAGAAAGCGTGCCCAACGTGCCTGTCTGGAAGAAAGTCTTTTAGCGTCACTTAGATATGATAAGTTCTTTTGATCTGTGAGAATTATGAGGAGTACAGAAGAACCTTCTAATAAGTGACACCATTCTTTGAGGGCCAGCACAATAGCCAATAATTCTCTATTACCTATATCGTAATTCTTTTCTGCAGGTGTCAATTTGTGAGAAAAGAATCCACAAGAATGCAATAGAGCAGTAGGAGATGCCCTTTGGGAAAGGATGTCTCCCCCACACCGGATTCAGAGGCATCTACTTTGAGGATGAAGGGTCTAGAGGGATTAGGATGGACCAGAACCGGGGCAGATGCAAAAGCTTTCTTTAAGGGAGTGAAGGAAGCCTTGGCGTTATTAGACCAGTTAACATGATTAGCTCCTTTTATTGTCATCGCTGTTATTGGAGCTATGATTTGAGAAACGTTTTTAATAAATCGTCTATAATAATTCGCGAACCCAATGAACCCAATGAACCTCTGTATAGACTTCAATCCGAGGGGTAAAGGCCAGTCTATAATAGAGGAAAGTTTTTTAGGGTCCATTTGGAAACCTTCAGCAGAAATCACGTAACCCAAGAACTGAATGGAGGTCTGATCAAATAAACATTTTCAAGTTTACAATACAAGCCATTAGTGAGAAGCGTCTGTAGTATTTCTCTAACTTGTCTGTGATGAATATGAACATCAGGAGAGTGAATGAGTATATCATCTAGGTATAATATAGCACAGGTGTGTAAATGGTCCCTTAAGTCATCATTAATGAGATCCTGGAAGACGGTAGGAACGTTACACAATCAGAAGGACATGACATTATATTCATAATGGCCACTTCGTGTGTTGAAGGCCGTCATCCATTCATCTCCCTCTTTGATGCAC